CATCACATCACTACTACCGGTACACCCCATCTGCGCTAAGTCTAGGAGATTATCTCCACACAAGTTACAGATCGCTAAGTGAGAATTTAAACATATGATGCAACTTGGAGTAATCAGACAGTCTAGCAGCCCATGGACTTCGCCATTACAAATGGTCCCCAAGAAAGACCAGGACTGGCACCCATGCGGAGATTACCCACACTTAAATAATCAAACCGTCCCAGACAGATACCCAATCCCACACCTACACGATTTCTCACTAAACCTACATGAAAAGCATTTCTTTTCGAAACTTGATCTCGAAAGAGCATACCACCAAATTACTATGGCACCAGAAGACATTGAAAGAAACAGCCATTATTACACTTTATGACTTGTTTGAGTTCTTAAGAATGCCGTTTGGACTAAAAATTGTGGCTTGAACGTTTCAACGATTTATGGACGAGGTTACCGGAGGTTTAGACTTTGTATTCGCCTATATCAACGTTTTAATTGCTAGCTCACCAATCGAAGAGCATGTTCAACATTTACAGATTCTTTTTGACTGTTTCAAAAAGCATGGTGTCATAATTAGTCCTAAGTGTATGTTCGGCGTCTCAGCCTTAGAGTTTCTAGAACATTACATCGACTCCCAAGGCATTAAACCTCTACAGGAGAAAGTTGAAGCTATCACCAACTATCCTAAACCAACTTCAGTAAAATGATTATACCGGTTCCTTGGAATGTGTAATTTTTATGGACGATTCCTACACAATTGTGCAAAAATATTACAACAGTATAGTTACTAATTTCCTTTGGTCACGTTACTTTCCAGGTTTCGGTATATGTACCTGTGTCTACGGATAATGCGAATATTTTGAGTAATGGTGTTCTTATGTCCGGTTCAGCCATTTTGTAAAGTATCGATTTGATGTCATTGGCACCAGAACCTGGAAAGTAACGAGATCACTCACATACGTGACCAAAGGAAATTAGTAGCTATACTGTATTTTGATATTAAGAAAGCTTTTGGTGAGGTACCTCATAACTTCCCAATCAACGGACTTCAGTCAGTTGGAATTAATAACCCTCTATCGCAATGGATTAAGTCATTTCTCACGAACATATACCAAATAATTAAAATTAACTATACATCTACACCGCAACCAATAACCAATGGTGTTGTGCAGGGTAGTATCTTAGGTACATTGCCTTTTACAATCTACTTCAATAATATACACAGGTGCTTTAAAACAGGTAAGACCTACCTTTACGCTGATGACCTGAAAGTTATCTATAAAACTAACATTTGCAATGTACGTAGTACTATGCAAACAATCCAGAATCAACTCAACACAGAAATGCAGCTGGCTATGTATTGGAAAAACGTCTCTTAAAATAAAACCAACAATTAACAAGGACGTACTGACCTAGGTGTATATTACTCACCCATTGCCTTATATATAACTATTATATTCCTACATTTTTCCGCCTACTTCGACAAACATCTATCCCGCATTATGTCCTTAATGCATATACTTTGATTGGTAACCTCTGCTTTGTACTATAGTCATTTAAAGGATTGCATTGATGCCTTACCCACAGTCCATAAGTTGTAGCTGCCCGTTAAGCTTGCAAAATAGTACTCATAGAAAGAGTGTTTTCCAACGGTAGGTGAAACACAGAGCATCGCGTGAGGCATAATATTTATTTAAAAATAGGCCTAAATGGGCCTAACATCACAAAGGAGGGAGGGTGGAGCTACTGACTAGCAAGCATTGATGTTGAGGGAGATAATTTCAATCAACCCATGTTTGTGGGATAGGACATTTTGTTTGTATCAGACTCTTTATGATTGAGAACGAGACAATCAATAAGTGATACTGAGGTTGTTCTCCTATATTATTTATTTATTTCAACACAGATATTGGTACAAGAAGACACCAGATACATATGCACCACACAGATCTCATTGGATATGTGTGAGAGCTGTGATACTGCCCGGGTGTCCAAACCGAAGCAGGTGGTTTTCTTAGGGGGCCACATCCCGAGCCTTCGACCTGAATGTCTGACCCACAAGGCTGTGGAGCATCGTAAGGAGATGCAGTCCCATGGTAGCCGGTGACCAACGATTGGTTCATACGCCATTTGTTCCTTCAGGATATTGGAGCCAGCCCATGTGCACCATTGGTTTGGGATCCGGTTAAAGCGCCGGACATTCGCTTTTCGTCCTCTCATTTTCGTAAACAACACCCCCGCCACGAGAAGGCAGTGAGTAGGACTTCCTTGGCAGAGGCTGTATACGCGTGGTCATGTGAGAGCATTTCGAAAGGGTGAGCGGACTCTCCCCACTCTCGGCCGCTCCAGGGCATTTGGGGGCTGTTCTCCTATAGGAGCGTATACGTTCACCATTTGGACTCATTTCCAATTTTATGCTGGATCAGCTATTCTACTAGGACAGCCTATAACATGCTGACTCGGATGTTTACAATAGGGCCTTGTGGGTAGCATCAGATGGAAAAAGGACAATAAAAGATATAGTTATTAGTGTTTCTTAACACTGCTCTCTTGATGCCCTCTCCATTCTAATAAATAGACTTCTTTATTGTAACTTCGACTTCCCTTCCATCGTTTGAACCTACTCTACCTTGTTAAATACCACAACGCATTGTTTTTATTACTGCATTCTCTTATCTGAAGGCTCTAACCACATTTCATCCTAGCAACAATTGCTAGTATGAGTTTAATCTACTAATTTATCATACATTTGTCTGTTCCACTACAAAATGTTAAGCATTATTTAGCGTTTATATCCAACTGCCTTGCTGCTCCTTGCTTCTCTTTTTTACAGCATCACGCTCTCAGGGTACACGACCAGAATTCTAACTCAGTGATGCCGAGTTTGAATCTGGAGTGAAATGTGGATGCGATGTCATTTTAGAAAAATATTTTAAAAACTGCACTCAGTGTAATGCTAAAACACTAACCTAATCATAAACGCTCTGGGAGATCAGCACGGATGTACTGTCTTTCATTTCTATTGATTTTGTTTACTTACCAACTATACTTGGGAAGCATACTGTAAGCAAACCAATGTTTTAACTTATAGATCATGCCTGTAAAAATGGCGTGCACCTGCCCTGACAGAAATATAATATATTATTATGTATATTCATATTCCTCTTATTATAAGTTGTTATTTAACCTATTGACTTTTACCATACGAGTTATCCTTCTCACGATATTCCCGATTTGTTGGCGAGTCTCTCGCAATCACAGCTACTTTTTGGCTTGACCTTGCATAATTTTATTTTCTGTTTATGGTATTATGCGTTGTGATTTGTATAGCGGAAGCTGATATTGGTGTCATGGACTGAACTGACTGGTTTAGAAGAGAAGTCCCTCTCTCAGTGGAACTCAGAATTGAATCTGTACTGCTCGTGCTGACCTATGCGAATTAGCCTGTTCAGTAAGTCGGTGTACGAATTGGCAATTGCTTCACATGATAATCAACACACCATAAGAACGTAACACTTTTGGTGTAGGTGACGATCTCTTCCAATAATTGGCGCGGTATTGGCGCCAGACGTGACTTTGTTGATATCTCGTCATTTTCGGGAGATATCTGGTTTCAGCTGTCGAACAAGAACATTCGACCATTTCAAGGGGTACACACAGCTTCCTGTCTTACTCGTAGATAACCACAATGGCGTACTTCAAGACCATAACTATATTATATTTTAAATACTGAGCGGTAAGTTCAGCTGTCTTAATCAACTGCTCTCTCCCTAGGTGCTTCAACTGCAACAAACACGTGTGCATTTTCTCATAGAAAATACGGGACTTGTGGACAAGTTACTAGATCCACGAATAGCAACTCACTATGATGGTAATGTTGCAGTTATGAGGGTCTCTCAGGTTCTATTCTTGCGCAGCATATAATATCTTATTTCTACTAGTTTTCTCCCTCAAAAACTTTGTCTTGTGTACTTCCTTCTTAAACCATCTCACATTTTACCTTATAGTCTATCGCGTAGCCAATGATAAACCCCCACCATTTGGGATAACTAAAGATTCAGAACACCTTACAGAAAAAAAAAGGTGTCAACATCCTATGATAGGAGCTTCTCCAAAAGGGCCTACTAGGTTTACTAACTTGTTTGGCTGGAAAGGGCACCACAGTGAGGTAAAATCCGACTCACACGTCCGCGTCATGCCTCCTGGGTAATGTGACTATTCCCATCAACTAACGTGAGCGGTAACCCGGGTGGTAGAGATCGGGCTAATCACCCACTCGACCTATACCCACAATCTGATTACGAAAACTACAAAGAAACATTGCACAATTATTAATGGTTCACAAAACGACAAAAAAAATTCACAAAAACTAAAACTTGGTTTATGGAATGTCCGGGGTTGCTCTCAAGAGAATAAACTCTAACTGATTGCAGAACAAGTCATCGAACGTAAGTACCACATCGCAGTGATTACTGAAACAAGGATGGTCTCCAAAACCATCAAATTAGACAAAAATACAACTTTCCTAAACTCTAATCCTGACATAAACGACTACCGGAACGCCGGTGTCGGCTTCATCATTAATAACCAATCAATGGTTACTGCCACCAACTTTAAGGAGATAGATGGTAGAATAGCTACCATTAAAATACATAGCAAAATCACCAACCAAACTATCAACCTTATCGGTTGTTATGCCCCAACTGAGTCTTCTACTGAAGATATCAGTAAAGAAACCTTCTACTTAAAACTGAATAACACTATTAAGAAACTTAAACTAAATAAACTTCCCATAATCTTATTAGGTGACTTCAACTGTAGGCTGGGCCGGGACCTTCACACTTACTACCCCAGTATTGTAGGGAAAGCTATTAAGCTTGAATCAGAGACTTCAACAAATGGCATGAGATTAATAAACTTATGCGCAACATCAAGTCTACGAGTAATGAATACTTTCATTACTAAACCTACGCATAGGACATCCACCTGAGTACACCCCAAGACCAAAACTGAACATATGATAGATCTAGTATTAATAGAAAATAACTCTAAGCTAATGGTCTGTGACATTCACAATAGCCGATCTATGGAAGCTAACTCGGATCACTACATGGTCACAGCCATACTCAAACTAAAATACTTAAATAATAAACTGACCCCAAACAATAATAAGATACCAAAACGAAGACAACGCAAGGCGATACATGCCTTGACGTCGGACTATCCGAACATACTAGACAAGCTACTTCAAAATAATTGTAATCTAAACCAGGTAGAACAATCCATCATACAAGCGGCTAATAAAGCCGCAATCCCTCATAAGTCGGCCACAAAAAGATGGCAACATACAATAAGCGATCTCTTAAAAAATGAAATAAAATATAGAAAACAACTAAGATTAGCTTGGCTTAATAACCCCACTACCTTAAATAAAAATCTCTACACACAAGCGAGTAAGATAGTAAATAAAAAGATTAAGTTAGCAAAAGACCAATATATCAAAAATAGAATAGATGAGATGAACTCTCTCTTCAAGAAACATGACTTACACTTAGCATATAAAATGCTGGATGATATATTGGCTACAATTCGAAACCAATCTTATAGACCCAAAAGAACAAATCAAGTAAAAGATAGTGATCTTCAATATCACTATCAGAACCTATTTAGTGCTAAATTAAAACTAAATCCTACTTATCTATCTACAGGGGGTACCCAGGATCCCGAACTAACGCTAGATGAAATAAAACAAGGCTTAAAAAACATGAAAAACCAAACTACTCCCAGTAATAACGGCATCACTACTGAAATGATTAAGCATGGGAGTAGTAAATTGACTAACATATTACTAAATATAATGAATAAAATATGGAGAAATCCGTGCACTATGCCAGACCACTGGCTAGATGCAGATGTAATAAGTATATACAAAAATAAGGGATTAAGATCTGACCCCAATAACTACAGAAGTATATTCTTACTGGACACAATAGGAAAACTATTTGCAGGCATAGTATGCAATAGACTAGTACAACAAACAGATAACTATCTACCAGCAACACAGTTTGGGTTTAGAAAAAATCTAGCAACTACACATGCAATAACTACTCTAAGACACGTAATCCAAACTGCCATAGACACGAAACATACCATTGTCTTAACTTTTGTAGACCTAACTAAAGCTTTCGACACCATACCTAAACAATTAATACTAGACACGCTGAATAGACTAAGTTCGTCCTATAACATAAACGCCTGCTTCGCTAAACGACTAGATAAGCCTAAGGGCTATCTGAAAAACACTCAATGGAACTTTACAATGCATAAGGGGGGGTCAGGCAGGGTAGTAAAGAAGGTGCGGCCATCTTCAACTTAGTCTTTCAAAATATACTACAACATACAATAGATAAAAACACAAAAAGGGATTACACTAAAGGATCAGCATAATAGGACTTGGACAGTCAAACACTTAGAATATGCTGATGACATATACCTCATCACAAATACCACGGAAGAGGCTACTAAAGCCTTAGACCACTTACAAAAATACTTAACTAATATTGGTATGGAGATATCAATCTCCAAAACCAAACTCATGATTATTAATAAAAAAGACAACCTAACAGCTGTCAGGATAGACAATAAGGAGATAGAGGAAGTAGAAACCTTCCACTATCTTGGCTCCACTATAAATAACAAGGAAACCCCTGACAGCGCTCTAACCCATAACATAGAAAAGGCAAAATCTGCAATAATCAAAATTAAACCAATACTTAGATGTAAGGAACTTAGCCTTAGTACTAAAATCAAACTGGTGGATTCTTCAATAATCCCCATTCTCACATATGGACTAGAATCCATAGTACTAAGGAAACAAGATTGGACACGACTAGAAACAGTCTTAAACACAATACGACGAATCATCTTAGGCATAAATGATAAGAAACAACTTACGGTAGAACAACTTAAACAAAAAATAAACTTACCCAATATAGCCAATAAAATAATGCAAAATAGACTAAACTTATAGTGCACCGCTCATAAAAGACCAAATAACCTAATGGTGAGGTCTTTAAATAGCGGATTCGATAATCCATCCAAAAATAGGAAGGCACATACAAAAAACTGGTTAAGACAACTTAACCAAGACGTCGAAGAAATGGGTGAACGACTACCGGAAAATTGGATAGACCAGCCCACTAAGGTTAAAATTAACGCTTATCAAGAGTACTTCCCCAAAATAATAGGTAAACGTCACTTAAACTATAAATGTCAAAATATAAACTGCAATAGAATGTTTGCAACGATTAAAGAAATGAATAGACATTATAGAAATGATCACCAAAATAAACCTGATACTGACTCAACTTATAAATGTCCCCTTACTGACTGTAATAAAATGTACAAGACTTTGGGCTGGCTTAATAAGCACATTCAATCGTGTCATCCACAACATAAGTCTCCAATAAAAGAATCTAACATACAAATAACTAAAAATAAACCCACAAACAGTGTAAATAAATGTCCTTACCCTGGCTGCACTAAAAGCCTACCAACTAAGAAAGGCATAATCAATCACTGCTGTGTAGTACATAGATGGTCAGCAATCACCGGACAGGAAGTAAAACCAAAAACAAAAAAACCGGCAAAAACAACTATTGAGTCCCGGTAGTTGTGTCGTGCTTCGATGTAGCCTCTTCTCCAGAAAAGCCTACTAGGCTTCACCAACTTGTTTGGCTGGAACGGGCACCACAGGGACCGGCATAAATATCGGGGCTCAATTGTTGTTTTTTGCTAAGTGTTTTTTTCTTTAGCTTAACTTCGTCTAGGTCTCTTGTTAGTGTTTGGGGTCTGTTTGTTATTTAAGTATCTTAGCTTAAGTATGGCTGTGACCATGTAGTGATCCGAGTTAGCTTCCATAGATCGGCTATTGTGAATGTCACAGACCATTAGCTTAGAGTTATTTTCTATTAATACTAGATCTATCATATGTTCAGTTTTGGTCTTGGGGTGTACTCAGGTGGATGTCCTATGCGTAGGTTTAGTAATGAAAGTATTCATTACTCGTAGACTTGATGTTGCGCATAAGTTTATTAATCTCATGCCATTTGTTGAAGTCTCTGATTCAAGCTTAATAGCTTTCCCTACAATACTGGGGTAGTAAGTGTGAAGGTCCCGGCCCAGCCTACAGTTAAAGTCGCCTAATATGATTATGGGAAATTTATTTAGTTTAAGTTTCTTGATTGTGTTATTCAGTTTAAGGTAGAAGGTTTCTTTACTGATATCCTCAGTAGAAGACTCAGTTGGGGCATAACAACCAATAAGGTTGATAGTTTGGTTAGTGATTTTGCTATGTATTTTAATGGTAGCTATTCTACCATCTATCTCCTTAAAGTTGGTGGCAGTAACCAGTGATTGGTTATTAATGATGAAGCCGACACCGGCGTTCCGGTAGTCGTTTATGTCAGGATTAGAGTTTAGGAAGGTTGTATTTTTGTCTAATTTGATGGTTTTGGAGACCATCCTTGTTTCAGTAATCACTGCTATGTGGTACTTACGTTCGATGACTTGTTCTGCAATCAGTTGGAGTTTATTCTCTTGAGAGCAACCCCGGACATTCCATAAACCAAGTTTTAGTTTTTGTGAATTTTTTTTGTCGTTTTGTGAACCATTAATAATTGTGCAATGTTTCTTTGTAGTTTTCGTAATCAGATTGTGGGTATAGGTCGAGTGGGTGATTAGCCCGATCTCTACCACCCGGGTTACCGCTCACGTTAGTTAATGGGAATAGTCACATTACCCAGGAGGCATGACGCGGACGTGTGAGTCGGATTTTACCTCCCTGTGGTAACAATTCTGACACGTTTTCCTTCAAACCACGAAAATAACATCACAAGTTTCGATAGACCACGCTTTCTCGGTGTGTATTCGTACTGAAAATCAAAATGAAGTAAACTTTTTCCTTTTTACTCTACGCCATATGATAAAAACTGTCATTACCATTCCCGATATTATACAGAAGATCCTTCACAGTTTCACAGTAATGTAATCAGCTACAACATAAGCTACGAGCTTAACTATCAAATCTTTTATAGTTAACAGTACACTTCATAGTTAACCTATACAAGATTTTTCTGGAATACAGCCCATAGTAGCATCTTTGTCAAATTATCTTATCCAAGTCATTTCAAACCTCATGCAAAGTATAAACTCTATTCTCCTCTACAGTTCCGATCCCCATACCTTCATCAGTATAAATAAGTAAAATAGAATTTAAACCCAACCATCTTTATAATCTTGATTCTTTAAATTATGATATATTGTACAATGATCATATTGTTGTTTTAAACAATCATTATGATGAGAACATGTTGGTAAAAGTATATTTCTATGTGTACAATTATTGAAAATAGGATGATGATGATGATGATGATGGTGATGATGATGATGATTTTTCTGATTGACTTGATTCATTTTATCATAATCATTCAATGTTAATTGTTCTGTTGATAATTTCATTTGATGATTAGATGTAATGTTCATTGTTGATTTTGATTTTACACATGAATCAATCATAAATTGTAATCTATCATTTAGATATACATTATTAGGATTATGTTGGCGATGAATAGGTGATGAAAGACATGAATTAGTTAAATGTAATTGACTATTATCATTATATAAGAAATCTTTATTGAATCTATTCAATGGATAAATTAATAAACATGCCATTGAATGACTTGTTTGTTTTGTATGATCAAGTTGATTATGTTCAATTATATCACATTCATTATGTTTTATTTCTTTGTTTAATCTATTATCATTAATTATAACATTAGTATTATGTAATTCACATCTATTATCAATATTATAATCATTATGACAAATTTGTTTAGTGTTTATATCTCTATTCACAGATTGTTGAACTTTGTCTAAAGTGGTGGAGAAAAGTGAAAAATAACAGAATAGGCATTTGTTTGTTAGATTTGTTAACTAACAAGTATATAATTTATTATGATTAAGTATTTTATTTTACCCAACGACAACCTTTAAGCGACGCTAAGATGATCTTGATAATGTTAACCTACTTATTAGGACTAAATAAAGGTTATAAATCAGTATAAGGAATTATAACTATGATTTACAGTTGATGGTTAAGGTTATTATGAATTCGATTATAGGAGTTTTGTCATGAATTGATATCAGCTATAATGCCAAACGTCTATTGGACCAAATGGATGAGTGAATTTCACGCCGAAATCCGAGATCTGTTTACTCATGTCTGATTGGTTCGTTCATAAATCATAGTTTTGCCGGATTGTTTAGATCCACATTATTCACTCATAAGTGACTATTTTCAGCTTGAATATCTTAGTGTTAACTTAATCGACGTGTGTCAACGATCTCCAAGCGTATAACGCACTAATTGAATATTTTAAACAATTCTATGCTTAAAATCATTTTATTTAATTGTCTTCAATTTTTAGCGCTTAGGAATTATTGTTCGATATTTTACAGCACTTTCAGTATTTGAATAATCTTTGCTAGAGTTAATCACAGCGCGCCCAAATGCCCTGGTACAGCCGAGAGTGAAGAGAATCAGCTCTCCTTCACGAAATGCTCTCATATGACCACGTGCATACAACCACTCCCAGATGAGTCCTACTCACTACCTTCTCGTAGCTGGGGTGTTGTTTACGAAATTGAGAAGTTAACTTCAGGCATATGGATTCCGCTCAAAAATACAAGAGATATTGTATGATCGATTCGCCCATAAGACATAGTGCCACCAGGAGTGTACGTTTAGTGTTGAAATTTAGGGATAGATTTGATTTGCCAGTCATTTGATCTACAGCAACATAATTAGACGTTTGTTACATCTAACCTCATACTGTTTACTCTGTGGAGACAAAACGTAATTTCCTCTATCATTTAAAACATTTTGAGCATCATACAAACATATCTCAACTGTTTGTAATGAGTGATCTTCGTGCAAAAGCCTAAAAGCTGAGTTTTCGGTTCTGATAAACTCTTTCCTACACTACACTATGTTATAGATAGCAAATTGTCATTATCATTTGTACTACTTATAAGTAGCAAACATTTCAAAACGAAATTAATATGCTTACTTGTATCCTCTGTCATTAGAAACAGATTTCTATGATTGACAAGTTTGTATTTTGTGGAGCATTTCTTCAAATGTTTAGATGAAAATATTATTATTTGACACATTAAAGTAAAAATGGAAATTCCCAAAATATATTTAATCCAAACATATTCTAGTGATTTATTCGCATCTGTAATATAAAACAGATAGAAGTGGGTTTTTATCATTTATTCAATGTCCTATGAGAATTGGAAACCATTTTCTTTAACAAAGTTTCATTGTTTAAGTCATTTTAAAATTCACATAATAAATGCAGTTACTAATATCATCTGACTGTTTTATGCGGTTACTTGCTTACGCTTGTTACCCCCGATGGAGCATAGGCCACCGACTACCATTCTACAACACACTCTCTCCTGGACCTTCCTTTTTAGTTCTATCTAATTCTTGTTCATTCTCCTCATGTATGTTTCCATTTCTTGGTGTAATATGTTGTTCTTTGGTCTTCCTCTTCTTTATTTGGCCTTTAGGATTCCGAATGAGTACTTGCCTTGTGACACAGTTGGTTGCTTTCCTCAATGTGTTTGGCCAACGGATCCGAAGTATTTTGCGTAGACACCTGTTAATAAACGCTTTAATCTCCTGTATGTTAGCTTTCGTAGTCCTCCAAGGTTCCGACCCATACAGCAGAACTGTCTTGATATTTATATTGAAAATTCTGACTTTGGTGATCGTTGACAGAGAGTTGTTTTAAGTTCCAGATGTTATTCACTTGTTAATATGCTGCTCTTGCTTTTCCGATTCGCGCCTTCACATCTGCAACAGATCCACCGTGTTTATCAATGATGCTGCCCAGATATGTAAAGGGTTTTACATCTTCCATATTTTATGTGGTGGAGATAAATTATTTTTCATTGCAGAACATTGATCATAAAGTTCGTTAGGAAAATCTCAATTCCCCCGATACATGAGCTCTCGTTTTGCTTTTCTGAGTTCATTCTAACTAATATAAAGATTTAAAAATTCATATCGTCCGACAAAAATATCGGGTTTTCGTGAACATAATAGTGATTCATCCTATGATTAGAATTTAAACTTCTATAAATAGGTCATCAGAGAATTCTAGGATGTGATTTTGTTTGATCTGAGTTTTATCAGTTGGATCTACTTGAATTCTAGTGTTAACACTCACACTAAAACTTAAACTCATTATCCATAACTTTACCAAATAAACCATATTGAGGAATTTGAATCTATATTGACAATACGAACTGAATGGATTCGGTCCCAAGTACAAATAACGATAAAGTACAAACTCTTGTTTATCAGTAAATGATATATTCAATTAAAAACGTCAAAACATGCAGTCCCATGGTAGCAGGTAACCAATAATTGGTTCATACGCCATTTGTTCCTTCAATATCCTGGAGCGCATATGCATTATTAGTTTGGAATCAGGGTTTCCCAACTCCCCTAGGTGGACTCTCCGTGTTCACCAACTCGGTTAAAGCGTCGGACATTCGCTTTTCGTCCTCTCAATTTAATACGCAACACCCATTATGCGAGAAGCCAGTGAGTAGGACTTCCCTGACAGTGGTTATATACGCGTGGCCACGTGAGAGCATTTGGAGAGGGAGATCTGACTCTCTTCACTCTCGGCCGTATCAAGGCATTAGGGGATATAATTAAAGATAATCTCTATAAAACTGATAATTCTCTACTATTCATCTAGCGAAAAAAGGGTTGCTATGGTAATTTTAGTAATTTCAATAGTTTAAATCATGAGTCAATTGAAACTAGACCACCATGAAAAACCTGAGAGCACTGGACGGCCGTTTTGTCCTAGTATGGGACTCCTCAGGAGTATGCATCCGCGATCCCGCCCCCCGCGAGATTCTAACCTAGGTTTTTCATGGTGGTCTAGTTTCAATTGATTCATGATTTCAACTATTGAAAAGAAAAGAGCTTATAGTTGTTAGAAATCAAGATGAACTTACTTATAGTTGAATGTTTAAAATATGCATCAATAGAATCATTTAATTGTATGTTAATATTAGTTTGATTCATTTGCAATGTAGATTGAATAAAGTAAAATTGTATTAAATGATTAAAATTTATTGGTGGGAATAAGTGGGATAATTTAGATTTGTTCCTATGGTTATTATGATTCAACATTATCAATGGTATATACACTTTAGATTGTATATATGATTCATTATATTGTTTATTTGTTCTATTCAATGAATAAAATTCAGCCTGTAACCAGACAAAGAAAAGAAAGATATTGATGGGTCATATTCGTTTAAAATAATCAAAAGCTGTTAATCTGACAAATCGAAATCAGAAGGGGTTCTATTTTTGTGGATAACACCATTAGATGCCGGTCTATTGGTTAAGCGGTCACGCGTGCGAGACTGATATGTCCTGGGTTCGAATCTCGGAAGACAGGGTCATAGGATAAAGTAAACGTCCAGTGCTTCCTGGTTTCCTATGGTAGTCTAGCTTCAATTGATTTATGATCTCAACTATTGAAATTTGACAAATGGTTGATTATCGAAATGATCAATAATCGTTACTGAAGTAAATAATTTTTTGTTATGTTATGTTAATAAGCTTTGACATTTTATGTTTGAAAGTAGTTAGCACACTTAAAAAGTTGTACTGATGCTATCCAAAACAGTACAAAAGTACTTATAGGATGGAAATCTCACAACAGAAAAGGTTCAACGCCATTAGTCACGGCTTCTCACTACAACTCCACCAAATCCATCTTCAAGTTAGTCACTAGAGTGCACATCACAGTTATCAGTGTACAGTTGTGGAGATTATTGATTTTACGTTGATATCATGAATAGTGGATGAACGTTAGACGAAGATTGGAATACTGGAAGTAGTGGACGACTGTTTCCTCTATCATTGTTTTCAGTCAGTAACTGCCTCACAACAGACACGGTTCAACGCCATTAGTCACGACTTCTCACTAGAACTCCGGGAAACACCTCTTGAAGCCAGTTACTAGTGAACACATAATGATGATGATTCTTATCAGAAAGGGTGCTTATGTGGAGATTGTAGTAATTTAATATTTGAATTTATGAGTCGATTAAAGCTAGACCACCATGGAAAACCTAGAAGCACTGAATCTTGAGTGTTCGCACACGAGACCGTAGGTTTGAAGTTCAAATCAAATTAGTGATATCGTGGATACGCACTGTTGAGGAATCCCATACTAGGACGAAACAACCGTCTAGTCCTTTCAGGTTTCCCAAAGTGATCTAGCTCACATCGACTTATGATTTCAACTAGTAAAATCACTACAGTCTCCACAAAAAACCCCCTTTTCTGAAAATAAATACTTTCTTTTTTGTTTTACCACTTACATATGTACAAAGTTGTTCTATCTGACAAACACGTATAAGACAAGTAGAATACACAGTATTATATATTGAGATATTATTCAAATGAAATGATTGACTAATCCAAATTGAATGATTCTTATTAGCTGTCCGATGATGAATGATTCGTTTGAATAAAATACATTGATATTCTATTTGATTGTTATATATATCAATGATTTGTTTAATTCTATGAATGTTTGTATTAAAACATCTAATGAAAGAAAGAAAAAGAAGAAACAAGTTAATATTTATTTAAGTTATATGTACTACTGATATTGACAGATATAAGTAGTATATATCATGCGTCGAAAGTTAAGAAAATTAAAGAGAAGAGAATGACAACAGATAGTGATTAGCGTGGGAAGGTCGTCGTTCTGTAACTGTGTATTCAAATGTATTCGATTTTCTCTGTTGGTGTTCTCATTCCCTACATTGGTAACTCATCTCCGAATAGATATCTAAGGTGTTATGTGTGAAAAATTTACTTCAATTTAAACATAGAATTTAGATCAAAATATTTGTTAGATCCTGATGAGAATAGTGGATAGTAACTGTTGGGATCTATTTATGAACCAATACTTTTATTGCATAATTGTTAAGTAATTAAACTATTCATATTCGCGTATCTCTTCTTATAAGCTTTATTGTGACAGCCCATCGTCTCAGACTTCGCTTTTGCCGTACTTTCATACCGATTGCTTTCTGTTCCTGTTATTTATTTATTTCTTTCTCCATCTACTGAAATACATTCTATTACTGTCAATTGTTATATACTACTTATGTGAATATAAGTAGTATATGATGTTAGTGGTGGACAGAATGTCTGGCAGCAGAGACAGAAAGATCGAATAGTAAAGAATGAAAATGCAAGAACAAAGGAAGCCTGAGTCATTTGAGACAATTGATGGACATTTTGCAAGTTGACTATCTAATATATGGTTGTTAGATTTTATTAAAAAGTCCTGTAATTTGTTTTCAAATATATTTGATTGTCCCCACCCTTGTTCTATTCACTACAACACCACAGTAGTAGTATAGTGTGTGCTACTGATGTTGACAGAAATAAGTAGTATGTATAACCAATAGGAAGTAGAATGTCCAGAGGTAGAATGTTGATAAGATATCTACAGTAGTAGTACTTTTGGTAATATTGTTATGCCCTGACGAGAATTATGAATGGTAACTGTTGAGAACTATTTACGGACTGATACTATACGTATATTTTTATTGTATAATTGTTAAGTAACTAAACTATTCGTATTCGTGTTCCTCTTACCATAAGCTTTATCTTGTTTCATTGACTATTATTATACGATTTACCGTTTTTTGAGTTATGCCCTGTCAATGAATTACGGTCTCCCAAATTTACAACAACTTTTGGTTAGATCTTGTACAAATGTTGTTTTCTATTTTATGGTATGATGTGGTCTGTTTGGTTTGTATAAAATCTCAGTGTGTTTGAAATTAAAGATTCATATTACATAGGCTGGGATTGATTCTCTGGGCTTAACAGGCAAGGCTAGGCGTGAAGAAAGACCGATAAGGACTCTAGGCTGCTCGTACGGCTTTTAGGCGTCAGTGGTCTGGTCGATGCATCACTGTTCTCTAATTGGCAGTATCATTACGTTATATATATCGATAGAGTCACAAACCCACAAGTTATAACAATATTATTTTTGGGAAAATAATAGGAATGGTAATTTACACCTGTTGTTTACTAATGTGTAGATTAACATTTTAATCTTTTTAGGCAAAGATGGATAGTGGCTTGCAGTGGAATTCAGGATGTGCGTTCCTTCCTATTTTGAACTCGTCACTTGGATGTACCTGCATGCCAGAGTTGATGTTCACCCCAAGACTCGAACCCAGTACCATTCGCTTCAAACGCCATCGCGTTCCCTACTTAGCTACTGACTCCTGATAGTCACTTCTATTTCTGTGTCTATTTGTTCGAGAGAGAAAGAGAGAATACTTAACCGACACTACTAACAACAGATTCTTAGTCAAAAACTATTTCGATACTAGGTACAACATATGGTTTTTATTTTTATAAACTCTTATTGGTAAGACTATAATTTATAGACGACCTTTGAGTGACGTTAGGGTAACCTTGAGAGTGTCCACTTAATAACTAGAAACGAATGAGCGTTATAAACCAATATGAGAAATTAGAACTATGATTTACAGTTGATGGTTAATGTTAGGAATTAGATTTAGGATTTTCATTACGAACTGACGTAAGCTATAATGCCAAAAGTCTATTTATTCAAATCGATGAGTGAATTTCGCGCCAAAATTCAAGACCTGTCTTCTTAAATCTTATTCGTTCATCCATAAATTATAGTTTCACCCTTTTATATATTTTGACATGTTATCTTTCTTGTGTATCATATTTTTGTAGACAAAACCTATCACACATCGATTTTTTAAGATTGTAAACCAATATCTTAGAAGAAATTTGCTATCTGTGAAACTTGGACTGTTTTCTCTACAAGGTCTTGGGTGCATTCTTCATTCTCAATAGTCTCACATTAGAGTGGAACTACTGTTCAATCCTCTCTGGTTTTCATTAGTTCTTGAATATTATCAGTTACTGACGGATATTCTATTCAAACCAAACTACTTTTATAAAAACTTTATTAAAATTATTGGCATTATTCATGAAGTTCATTTGAATTACAAAAGATTAAAATTTGTTAGTCAGTTAGTTACAACGTAGGGCCAGGCACATATATGCATCGGTCCAAGTCGCTGATAGTCACGCGAACCGCAACCAAGTGTGCATCCACTAACATGACTCATACTAGAAGTTAGTCACTTCAAGCACTGATGTCACGTTTTGGTTTGCACGCCCCTAACTTCCTTCCAATCATCCCCAACACTAGTCAGCATTGCGTGTCGTGGTAATCAGTGTTCAGGCATACGTAACACGTGGTCCAACCATTTCACTTGATGAAAATTGACAACCTCATCAACTGATTTTCCATCATTCACTAATACCCTGTGTCTGACCTTACTGCTACTTACCCGATGATCCAGCAGATGTGAGCATTATTTCTAAGGCATCTGTGGTCAAATATCAGTAGCTTACGAATATCTTCTACTCTTAATGGCCACGTTTCGTAGGTGTAAATTAGAAGAGAACGAACGGCTGCACAATATACTAGTCCCTTAATTGATAGATGGATATCTTGCCTTCGCCATAGATGACATAAATTAGCAAAAGCCAATCGATTTTTTTTAAATTCCTGCTGATATTTTGTCCAAAAAACAACCGATTAAGAGCTGATCAGACTACCAAGATAAGTGAAGTTGTCAACGCGTCCAACTACTTCATTCCCTATCCTTAGTTCATGTTTTAACGCAGGTCAGATATTTTGCATTAACTCTAATATCTCTGACAAATACATTTTATTTCCTTCATTACTACTAAGTTCAGATAAGTAGACTGGGATGAAAACGTGTTAATAATGTTAAGATTTCAAACCAAATATCACAAAAGTATTTGTTTAAACTTGCTGTCTGTTTCAACATGCTGTACGTACTTTAAATCTAAAAGTTTTTCATGTTCATATGTTGGTAGTGTTTTGGAAGGAATCGATTGACCTTTGATCAAACAATATTCTATTAATATGAATTCTAAATAAATGATGAAGAAAGAAAATTAACAAATTAGATATTATAATCAGAGAGGGATTTTATGCATATTATAGTAATTTTAATAGTTCAGCTCATGAGTCAGTTGAAGTTAGATAATTACTGAAAACCTGGAAACACTGAATGGTCGTTTCATCCTAGTATGAAACTTCTCAGCAGTGCACATTCATGATCCCGCTCACGTGATTCCAACCCAGGACCTGTGAGTCTCACGCACGGGCGCTTAAACTGTGAACCACTGAGGCGGCATCCAACGGTATTATTGTGTAACTTCAACCAATCAACAAAATTGAGCCATCGTCCAGCATTGTCTTCAGTGAGTTACTCAACAATACAACAGACCCGGTTAAACTCAACTGGTCACTGCTTATCACTAGAACTCCAAGAAATACCTCTTCAGGCCAGTCACTAGCGAACATATTATGATTATTATTAGTAAGGGTTTCTTTGAAGAGATAGGTCCTGGGTCCGAATCGCGCGGGGCGGGATCGTGGATGCGCACCGCTGAGGTGTCCAATACTAGAACAAAACGGATTTCCTGTGTTTCCTGGTTTTCTATGGTGGTTTGGCTTCAATTGACTCATGAACTCAACTATTAATTGAGTAGTTGCAAATAATTGGTCAAAGCGTCTAATTTCTTACCAGATAATGATGAAGAGATTTTTAATGTTATTTCATGGTTTTGAGAAATATTTTTGGTTATGTTATTTATGGACAAAGATATTGAATCGGAATTAGTATTTCGTGTCCTTTCGTCTTGCATAGTGATCTTTTCGACGTATTTCGTTGGAAGAAGTTTATTGATTCTCGGTGATTTTTGAGATAAAGCCAACTGACCAGTTCTTTTTGTAAGAGTGATCGATCTTTGAGAACAAAAGAGAATTAAAACATTATTAATATTTTGAAATTTGTTAGAGGAAAGATTTGTAATATCTGAACTGTTTTCAACATTCCTGTATTGACGTACAGAACAGCTAACTCATTAGTGAGATGAGATTGTCAATCACATAAAATCTACATGCAGAAGTCTAAATGACAATTAATTTTTTGCAAACTGGATTGTCCGAGAAAGTCTTGGTCAACAAGCTCTGTCGCGTGCACATTGTAGAGTGGTGCATAGTTTCCAACAATTTACTGTGGGAGAGAACAAACCAGATCCGAAAGACAGTAAATAAAATAGCCTTTCAATAATAAGCATAACGTTTGAAGATAAACTTTTGGAGCGTACATCGCATATGCAAAATAAATAAGTGAAACATTCAAACATGCCGTTTCAAATTGAAAAATGAGGCGTAATATTGAGATTTGAATGTAAGCAGTTCGCTTTAATTAAAAGAATTCAACTACTTTCAATAAATGAGCCGAAGAAATTTTTTATTTTAGTTTGAACTACTTTATTATTATTAAGTAGCACAAATGATTAAATTAAAAGTGGAATCAACTTTTAGATCCGTTAACGGATCTATTGGAAACGGTATACAGCAAGTAGAAATAAAAATTTAAATCACCCCAAAAACACAGATATTACATCTTATTAAATCTTGGAATAATGTATATATGTATATATATATATGTAGAAGTGGTTTACCTATCATAGAAATACGAAGTAGATAGATTTGATCCATTCAAATATGAAACATTGATATGACAAAAAAAGTCAATATGAACGTTTCTCAATAATGAACTGTCGCTCTTTGTAATTTCAGCATGTAATGTGCCATAAAATACAGATCCATACTACATAAAATATAAAACGAAAATTAAGATTATTAGGATGAGATACAAAAAGTAATTTTTAATCCAGTATAATAGTTGACTTAGTAGAATATTTGTTCATTTTCAATGAAACGTTTATCCTTTATGACTATTAACAACTGTTATCTGTCAATAAAACAGGTAATTGTAGCTAAAACCAAACAAAGTATATCCGATAGGACTATCAGGAGATTCATAGTATACTATTATGAAACAACCGGCCATCAAACTTCCACAGGTGTTTCGTTTTAATAGAAGGAGGAATTTACTCATATCTCTCAGTACGAATAATTTGCACTTCCAATTTCGCATTTTATGAATTTAGCCTCCTAAGAAAGCTCCGTTTGGAGCCTTTATAGGGCTACTGCCGGTCCCTAATCCGGATAAAGGAAGAGGGTTGAGTATGGGGTTAGCGATCCCATCCCATAGAAAACTCACTAGAAATATGCTAACTAGAAAAAATTATTTAAACTCTGCCCTGGTGATCAGAAGATCTTCATTTTGAAGAGTTATGACACCTCATGGTGAAAGACGAGTTCCTTCGGAATTCATGAGGTTGATGTCCCTTCTGACAACCAGAGCAACCATTTATTTAGATACATGGAGTGCTCGTACAATGTAGGAGACTGGAAGAATCTTCCAAATTGCTGCAGAATTGTTGCAATCTCTTAAGAAGAATACTTTTTGAACATCATACATACCAACAACCTCCGTATCAACGACAATAATTTGGGTAAACATTGATTTCAGAGGTAACTAAACTATTGATAACCTAGATATAAGAATCTCTGACTCTTTTCAAATAACATTTCTCTCAGCATCTTGGCGTTTAGTAATCTCTAGCCGATCAATTTTTAGGAAAAACCGACAGGAACAACTTTCATTTGCCATTGTATCTGGAAAAAAACTGGAACTATTTATACAAAAGAAACTTATCCAAACCTTTAGTATACCGTGATTCAGCTTGACATGCAAAACGCATTTATGTAACAGTAGTGCTATTTATTTTAACTTAAATAAGATGTATATTGGTTAGTTTGCTCTAAATACAGTACGTGGTCCACCACGGTGCTAAGTACCTGTGTGGTTGCGACGCAGGATTGAGCGTTAAAGCCTGTACGGTGTCTGGTTTTCCTGTGAAGCGGGATTGAGCTGTACTGTTTGGGTTGTCACGTGAAAGTCCGGATGGTGTCTGGTTCTCCTGGAAACAAATGTAAAATCACCCTGGCCCACAAGGGTGTATTATATAACTATATAACTAACAATACGTGACTTGAGCATGAGATTTCGATTTCATGTTGATTATTATAACAACTGACTACTGATTTCATTTGAAAAAATAAACGAATTCACTTAAAAGACTTGACACGATTCAACAATACTTAATCATGTAGAATGAGTGATTATGTAAAGTGGAATCTTATCAAATATTTTACTGACTGACAATATAAACACGAAATTTCCAAAACAATGGACAAATTCGATGGAATATATTTAACATGAGCAGTGGAATCCACTATGCGCGTTCCGTTCTATGTAAGACTCGTCAGCTGAATAAATCTGCATCTCAAACTTGATATTCACTCCATTACTTGAACGTAATATTATTCTATTTAAACGCCATCGTGTTATCCACTCAGCTACTGAGTCCTCATAGCCACTTTCATGTGCAATGTAGTCAAGTTTAAACTCATTTTGTATTGTTTATTTGAATGTTACGGTTGATGTGGTAGAACTGCAATTGATCAGTCTCTTATTGGCATATGTGCAGTATGTTGTACAGACTGCCTTGATATTGCCTTAATTCACAAGCATCATAAGCAAAGATGGATACTAGTGATGTGAACAGAGAAACAAAAAACCTTGACAAACTGCGAAAGCTATTTTTCGGGAAACACTAACATTTGTTTTTGTTCCTAGTCTATTATACAGAACTTATCCTTCGTTTGATGTATGATTCACCGCCATAGCCCTTTTTGTTCCAAAGCCATTGTAATTTAGCCGTATTATTTCGTACTCTATTTTCTACGCTAATCCTCAGTGTTAGATATGACTGTATTTTACTAGTTGGAATCATGAGTAAATTGAAACCAGACCGACATGGAAAACATGCAAGCAATGGACGGCCGTTTCGCCCTAGTATGGGACTCCTCAGCAGTGCGGGTCCACGATCCGGCCCCTCGCGAGATTCGAACTCAGGACCTATCAGTCTTGAGCGCGAGAGCTTAACCATTAGACAAGTGAGCCCGCATCCAACAGTGTTAATGTCTAACTTCAATCAATCCACGAAATTGCGCCACCGCACTTCTGAGGAGTCTCCTACTAGGACGAAACGGCCGTCCAATGCTTCCAGGTTTTCCATGGTGGTCTAGCTTCAATTGACTCATGATTTCGACTTGTGAAATTTGTAAAATCTTCACAAAACCCCTTCTGATAATAATTGTATTTTCCTAATTATTGTACGTTGTGTTTGGATTAGTCATCTATTTATTTATGCATCTTTTTACACTGATCTGAAATCGAGAAATCTGGAACCAGATCGGAATTGAGAATAAATCGTGTAGTGTTCCAGTTGACTTGTCTTCTCTTATTCGCGTGCTTGTCAGCCAATCAGGTGATAGAATAGTTTTCTTGTCTCTACCCCACTTCGAACTCACACTTACTAACCTCAAGTTTAAACCAGTCAATATATCGCTTCAAGGTCTTAATCTAGATTAGACAAGTTATCCTCAGCGTTAAAAGTGGATAGACAGATCAAAGACGTAACAGTGGCTAAGAAAGGAATCCACAATGTACTTTTCATCCCATTGTAGGACTCCTCAACAATATCCATCCAAGAACATACCTTCTATCAGGATTCGAACTTAAAACGTTCAATCTCATGTGCAAACATTTAACCCTTTTAACCATTGACAATTTATCAATGAAACACTTTATAATATAAGTAAACAATCTTTCTTACCTTATAACTTATTTCATAAATTCCACATTGTCTTAATTCATTTAATGTATTAAGATTAACTAATAAACAATATTCATCATTATTCTGTTTTATTAAATAACATTTTTGATAATCTATAGAATAATTGAATTCATTTTGAATGAAGTTAGGAATGATCATTGATGTATCCAAGTAGACTTGAATGCTTCTTGATCTATGATTGGTTCTTATCATTGATGTTTGATATGGATTTTTAAAACAGATATGAATACTTTCTTGATTACATGTAATCTGTACTAATAAGAAGAATAAGAAGAAAAAAAAAGAAAGAAAAATGAACAAGGAGGACCTCATGTGGACGTGAAGGCAACGATTATCAGGATGATCAGAATTATGTGATGATATATTAGCGCAATACATTTCGGACAATCTGATCACTGTTGTTTTTACAACCATTTTAGTATGTGTGTTCACCCACCCTTAATTGCAAATCAGGATTGCTCCTCCCTATGTACGTGTTTCCACACATACATGTAAATTGATAGACACAATGGGATTTGACACAATTGCTTACGTGCTGTTTGAGCTTTTGGTGAAACATAGACAAGTTGAGTTGCATAAAATGCCCGGTTGATAGCTAATTTAAATCTCCGTTTCAATATGAGACTATTTGTGTCGCCTCTGAATGGTAACGTAATATAAACTCGCTTTTTGCGTGCCAGAAGCATCATAGGTCTAATCGTATTGCAACTGTTCCAGAAGTTTATGAACTTCAAGGAATAATCATTATTCACTAATGTATCAGTTAATCAATTTACATGTATGTGTGGAAAACAACTGTCACTCAATATCAATGAAGAATGAAATAGAAATGGTGATTGTTTTGTTTTGTTGTTCTCTCTTCCAGTTTATTGTTATGATTACAGACTTCACTTGTTACGTAATTCAATTAAATCAATACATGGACTATGATTATAAAATGAGATCACTAGTGATTAGGTTTGTGAAGGAATTATTGGAGTTCTAGTTAGAAGTTGTGATCAGTGGAGTTAATCTGTGTCAGGTAGAGATAGTTATCTACCTTAGTACGATGAAAGATCGTTGCGCAATTTTGTGAATTGGTTGAAGTTAGATATTAACACCGTTGGATGACGGCTGGCTCAGTAGTCTAGAGGTTAAACGTTCGCGCGTGAGACCGATATGTCCTAGTTTGGAATCTTACTGTGCGGGATTGTGAATGCACACTGCTGAGGAGTCACACAATAGGAGGATATGGCCGTCAATCGGTTCATGATCTCAATCAAAAACACTATGGGAAACCTGGAAGTACTGAACTACCCAGTGGTGGTGGTCGAGCTTTAATTGACTAACAATATCTTCACAAAACCCCCTTCTGATATGATCATAAAAGTTTAAAAATAAAGAATTCCGAGTAAATCAATAAACTTCACAACGTTTAAACTACTTCTAATCTCGACTTCTGTTGTTTAAAATACCTTTAGAATTATTCGAACATGTAGGTGTTCAAATGTTTTAGTAGATAGGGGGTATGATTTAAACTAATGGTCGCGTTTTAGACAAGAAATGAAAGATCAATTATTGTTCAGGTATACAAGTGGATTATTGGTCTCTTTTTTAATGGAGAAGCTGTGGAACAGGTGGAATCTTTCACGTACCTGAGAAGCATCATCGATGAACAAGGAAGATCGGATGCAGATGTAAGGATTGGCAAATCAAAGATAGTGTTCTAGAGTTATAGAACATATAGGACTCAAAACAACCGTCAATCAATGTCGAAGTCACAATCTTCAATACGAATGTCCAGACAGTTCTACTGTATGGAGCTGAAACTTTGAGGACTACAACAAACATCATCAAAAATGTACAAGTATTTATAAACTAATATCTACGTAAGATACTGAATGTCCGTTGACAGGATACCATCAGCAACAGCCTACTGTGAGAGAGAAAACAAACCAGCTTCCAGTTGAAGAAGAAATCAGGAGATGTTCGTGGTGTATAGGACATACATTACGGAAATCATCAAACTGTATTACGAGACAAACGCTAACTTGGAATCCTAAGGGGAAACGGAAGAGTGGAAGGCCAAAGAACACACTGAGTAGAGAATTGAAAGCAGACATAAAAAGGATCAATAAAAACTGAAAAGAAATGAGAAGGACTGCGCGGGACAGAGTTGGATGGAGAATGCTGGTGGTCGGTTTATGCTCCTCCATGAAGGGTAACAGGCGTAACAACAACACTATTGGTCTGTTTTCAAAATAATATTCCCTCTCTATTTGCTTACTCGATATTGAGAAATATGAGAATTAGGAGATTTAGCTTTAACTCAACTCTAGTTCAATTACTTGAAATAAAAAATACTTGACTAATCTGATTTCTTTCAAACCGAATATTCTTAGTTAATATATCAAGATGACCAAAAATCTTCCTTTACAAATACATTCTTCATCTTTAACGTTCTTTCGTAATAGTTTGTAAACAGTCAATCAGAAGTATCAGTTCTAATAACAATTCTGTGATAGCTCGAATAAAATCATATCTGTGATTAGGACACAACTCCGCCTGGAGCCCCTCTGAGGCTATTGTCGGTCGTAAGAGCGGATAAAGGAGGGGGATCGGGCATGGGGTTAGTGATCCCATCCCGTAGAAAACTAACTCGCTAAAAAAACGCTACCCAGAAAAAATTATTCAAACCACTTAAACTCTGCCCTGGGAATCAGAAAGTCTTCATTTAGAAGAGTTGTGACGCTTCATGGTGAAAGCCGAGTTTCTTAGGAAGCCATGTGGCTGATGTTCCTTCTGACAACCAGAGCAACCATATATTTAGGTACATGGAATGCTCGTACAATGTGGGAGACTGGGAGAGTCTTCCAAGTTGCTGCAGAAATGAGGAGATACAATTTAGAGGTGCTTGGGATCAGTGAAACACATTGGACGCAGGTTGGATAACTACGACTAGCTTCAGAAGAGCTTCTGTTATACTCTGGCCATGAAGAAGTAAATGCCCAACATACACAAGGAGTTGCATTGATTTTATCCAAACAAGCACAAAATACACTTATAGAAAGGGAATCTCATGGACCAAGGTTCATCAAAGCCTCCTTCAAAACAAAGAAAGAGGAAGTTTCGATGAACGTTATCCAATGCTATGCGCCCAATAACGACTACAATGAGAACGTTAAAGATCAATTCTTCGATAGGCTGTATTCAATCGCCGAAAAAAGCCTAACAAAGGACTTGACCATTTTGATGGGAGACGTAAATGCCAAGGTCGGAATGGCCAACGCCGGCTATGAAGACATTATGGGACGACATGGCCTAGGAGGAAGAAACGAAAATGGTGAGAGATTCGCAAACCTATGTGCCTTCAATAAACTGATTATAGGCGGCACTACATTCCCAGTAAGTAAGTCATTGGGACACAAGGTGACATTGGTTCAAATTCCACAGGAAACATCTATTCTGTGATTATTGTACATACACCTTGTTGACAAGTGGCAGTTAATATATTATCTGGGTACAAGGTTTTCTATTAATTAGAATCAATCACTTACAACTAGAAACCATTAACATTATATGAGTATTTGACTAAGTCTTAGAAAATGTATTACAGTTATACAGATATTTATTTTCTTCACATAATGCTTTATTTACTGAGAAAGCTACGGAACTTTACTAACTATAAACTTGAGTTTTTGATTATTACTCATGTTATATATTACTCAAAATTCTAAAAAAAGATGTCTAGTTGCTAGCAGTGGAATCCACGATGCACGTCTCGTCCTGTTTGGTACTCGAATTCAATATCGTTCACTTCAAACACCATCGTGTTATCCACTTAGTTACTGGGTACCAGAATGAACATGAACTTTGAGATGCAGGTACATTCAGCTGACTAGTCCAAAAACAGGACGAAACATTCCATTACTAGCCACAAGCAATGTTTGCTTAGAATGCTTGTGACTTAGGGCAATATCGAGGCAATACGCATAATATGCAAATATGTCCATAAGAGATTGATCAATTGCAGTTCTAACACATCAAATGGAACATTCAAATAAATAATACAAAATGAATTGAAAATTAACTACACTGCACAAGCTAGTGTCTATGAGAACTTAGTAGCTGAATCGATAATATGATGGCGTTTGAAACGAACGATATCTGATTCGAGTGATGAAGTGAATATCAACTATGGGATGTAGGTACATACAACTGATGATTCTTAAATAGAACGAAACGCAAGTTCTGCATTTCATTACTAGATATCATCTATCTTTGCTTAAGATGCTTGTTACTTAAGACAATATCGAGATAATTCGTACACCATACTGTACATACACCAATACGAGATTGATCAATTACAGTCCTAAATATCCATGAGAAGATTCAAGGTAAACAACACTAATTGACTTTCAAACCATAAAAACTTACATAGATATTCTATACAATCTTTCTTCTTTATATGAAATCCTGATAATTGTTTTCCTTGTTTATATTGATCAAATTCAATGTTCATTCTTTTATTATTATTATTATTCAAATTTATATCTAAATAATATGGATAATAATCACTAATAGATTGATCAGTTTGTTTAAATAATGAACATGAACAACTATATTTATATTGTATTCGATTTATTGATTCAATATTAAATCGATAACATTTCCCATTTGATTGATAACAATTTTGACAATCAATAATAGTTGGATCAGTTTCTTCAATAACTGTTTGTTTGTATGTTTGTTTGTTTTGTTTTGTTTTAATAAAAAGAAAAGAAAAGAGTATAGATAACAAATTCTAATCAGAAAGAGGTTAATGTGGAGATTGTAGTAAAAGAACTGGATACTATTGAGACTTTCATGTGACAACAAGAGATTCAGACATCGCCCCAGCTTAAACTTTATAACCTAAGCTGTACAGCTCAACTTTACTTCAAAGGAGAATCAGATATCATATAGGCTTTAATGTTACAAGCTGAATCCTGTGATGCAACTAATGACCCATATAAGATTTAACTTATATATGAGTGAGATAATAATCATCATATGAAACTTTAAAGTGATGTACTGTTAGATCCCGATGAGAATAGTGGATAGTAACTGTTGGGATCTATTTATGGTTGAATACTATACGTATATATTTATCGTATAATTGTTAAGTAGTTAAACTCTTCATATTCGTGTTTCGCTCATCATTAGCTTTATTTTGACTTATGGACTATTATTATACAACTTACCATTCTTAAGTTATGCCCAGTTTACGATTACTATCTCCCTTATTCACAGACACTTTTAACTAAATCTTGTACAAATGTTATTTCCTATTTTATGGTGTTGATGTAATCTGTTTGGTTGGTAATATAAACCCAGTATGTTTGAAATACATGATTCATATCGCGGAGACTGAAATTAGTGTTCTGGACTCAACTGGCTAGGCTAGGCATGAAGGGAGACCGATAAGGACTTTAGGCGTTATTGATCCAGTCAATGTATCACTGTGTTCTAATTGGCGATATCATTACGTTCTACATAAATAGAACACAGGGTATAAGTTATAACATGTATAGTCTTATATAGTTTCAAATGAACTTCAAACTAAACCATATCTACGTGATAAGCAAAGATGGATAGTGGTTAGCAGTGGAATCCAGGATGCGTGTTTCGTCCTATTTGGGACTCTTCAGCTAGATGTACCTGTATCTCAGAGTTGATGTTCACTCATATCAACGTTGCTTCTATTCTATTAATACATAATTTGTACAATCATAATTATAATTTTACAACTAAGTGAAATACTTGTTAATTAAACTTTAAATTATTATTATTATTATTAATATTAAATCAATCCATCAAATTGACAACAACAAAAACAACAACAAAAAATTATAGATGGCTTAGAAACTAAATTTATCGATTTATAAACAGTTTTTTTTTTCGTGATTACCTCCTTCCCCCCTTTCTCCCTCTTACCGTATATCTATGTATCTCTATGTGAATTTGATGGTTTCACTTACTAACCTATAGATCCAATCTATTTTATTCATTTAAACTGATTAATTTCAAACTGATTTTATAGTACTATTACTATTATTACCATTATTATTACTAATACTGCCAATACTACTACTATTACTACTACTACTACTGCTACTACTAGTGCTACTACTACTACTACCATTATTATTATTATTGTTATTATTATGTAACATAGCAACTGTCCAAATGAAGCAAAACATTGAATAGAAATAATAATAAAGTAATAACATATCAGTTGATATGGATTATTTATAATAAATAACAATCACTAAGGGATAATCATTTAATTAATATTAAAGATAGGAAAGAATCTATTCAATTTAAATAGAAAAAAAAACTAAGATGTTATTATACAATGAATTGAAGTGAATTTTAGATAAATCACTTTTTTGTATTAGAAAGATGGGAGGTGGTGATTTGTGAAGGTTTTAGTAATTATAATAATTGATTATTATCAGAAAGGGTTTTGTGGAGATTGTAGTAATTTCAATGATTAAGATCATGAGTCAGTTGAAGCTAGACCACCTTGAAAAACCTGGAAGCACTGAACGGTCGTTTCGTCCTATTATGGGACTCCTCAGCAGTGCGCATCCACGATCTCGCCCCTCCTACGAGATTCGAACCCGGGACCTACTGGTTTCGCGCGCGAGCACTTTGTGGTGGTCGGTGTTCGATATATTCCTTAAACTCCATATACAATTCGTCTCGGTAACCGTCACCAAATAATGCTCCAACGGTATGTTAATCAGAAGGCGGATACGAAGCGTTAATTACGTTTATTAAGGGACCACACACAGATATCCAAAATTACAGATGCGTTAAGCAAGCATGAAATAGTTGTGCCGAAAGGCAAACAGGCAAGCGAGCGAGAGAGAGAGAGAGCAAGGGCAAGAGCGAGCGAGCGAGTCATGAATATGAATAACATGGACATATATATACATAATGAAATTAATGAATCATCGAGTCAATTAAGCGGTTAATAGTAAAGCTAGTAGCGTGAATAAATGCGTAGGCAGTAAGGCTTGCCGAGCATACGTATTCATACAAGGATAACAATAATAAAGGTACATACATTCGCAACAGTAATAAGGATACAATGAGTTATTATAGTGCAGGTGACTTTGTCCGTTTAATAAGTTAATAAAAGGGCTTAACAGAATTAGGTGAGAGCAAACTCAATTGAACGTGGGTTGCTATAATAGCTCCTCCCAGCAAACAAAGATACAAAAGTGTCTGTGTTTGCGAAAAAAAATGTCAAATTTAACAAGATGGGAAATATTGAAATTTACGAAATTAAGATATATGATAGAACTATCGTATAAGTTATTAAAAATATGTGTAAGTTTGACTTGGTATATGTCCGTGAGGCCAAATAAGATCATAACGGAAGATCGGAAGAATACATAAAATATGTTGAATATAATAATTGATGAGCTAAAATTTTCGATTTGTACATAGAAAATGAAGATGAAATTTACATTCGAAGAGGTGAAAGAAATTATCAATTCAAAATCGTAGCTATGTATCGTTGCGGCCATCTCACTCTTCGGCTATATCTCGTCGTTACTGGATTTTCTTCGTTTGTGTTGGTCGATGTCGTTGATGATTGGGACTCGCGTTTCGGTGGTTCGACAGTTTTCGCAGTACCTGTATATATTGGCTAATCGTCGCTTTCGATGAAAGCTGGTTTGACTCTGTCGATGCTAATTACATCCGTTTTTCCAGCTTTTTCTATCGTAATAGTTTTATCGTTTCTTTTAATCCCCTTGAATGGACCATCGTAGGCCGGTTGTAAGGGACGCTGCACATTATCCCTTCTGATAAACACATGGGTACTATCGGTCAGTCGTTTTGCCATGTAGACACGATGTTGCTGTTGCCTCGGAAGCGTTATCCTCAGATCACCCATATGTTGCTTTAGACGTTGTACATAGTTGGCTATATGCAACGGGGATGCCCAGGGACTATTAGACGGTCTTACGATACCAAGCTTCATCAATTTTTCGAACTCTCGTTTCGCAATCTTCAACCTATTTGGGTCTAGCCTCCGTGGTCTTGCGTTGGTCGGTGGACCTTTCGTTATAATATGGTGCTGTACAGTGTGTTTTAGATCTCTGTTATCGTATGATGCTCTCGTCAAATCAGTGAACTCATTTAGAAGCGCTCTATATGGCTCGCTTTTGTCTTTTGAGACTACTAAATTCATGGATATGTAATCGGTTGTCACTCCTTTTATCACTACTGAATGGTCTCCGTTCACGATCCGGTTTCGTCGGGAATCAACTAGTAAGTCGAAATTCTTTAAGAAATCAATACCAATTATAGGTACGGATACATCTGCGATGACGAATTCCCAGCGGAATGAAGTGCTACGACCAAAATTCAAGGTTACTTTACGCTTGCCATATGTTTTTATATCGGATTTATTTGCTGCCTTAAGCGTTAGCGCTGTATTAATATTTCGCGTTTCGTTACTCACTGGAGGCACAACGCTTACTTCTGCTCCAGTGTCCACTAAGAACTGAACACCTGTTACTCTGCCCTGAACGTAAAATAAACGGCTGTTTTTAGGAGCTGTTCTAGTTGTTGCGGCGTTTACCGACAATCGGTGTGATCGTTTGAATTTACACGGTGGTCGGCAGTTTCGAGCTTTGTCGCCAAAAGTTAGATGGTACCAACATATTGTAGGAGCTGAGCGTCTCCTAGAACATGATCGACTTCTATCTCTTGACCTACTTCGCGACCATTTTCTTTGTATATCGCTCTGATTTCGTTTCGTCAGCTTGTAACATAAAACGTTAATCTCCTTTTGTAATGCGTCAATTCGTTCATCTACTGTGGTATTATGTCTTTGCGGACTCGTTTGTTTCATTCTCTCGTAAATCCTATCGGCTATATTAGCAATGTTGTCTATGCCGACATCGCTGTCCTCAACCGCGAGGATCTGCTGAACGTTCGGTGGGAGTCGTCGTAGCCATAACTGATAAAATATGTTTTTATCTATTTTTCTGTCTCCAATTATGCTTCTCATATAATTTTTTAGCTGCGACGGAGTCCTATCTCCAATCTGCACTTGACTGAGAAGCTGCTCGACGGCTTGTCGGTCACTTAATGAGACGGCTTTAATCACAGCCTGTTTAAGTGCGTCGTATGGCTTTTCGATGTCTGGCTTAGTTAAAACCTCTCGTACATTGTCGGCTACTTCATCCGGAAGTAGTGAGCTCGCATGGCCGAATTTATCTCGCTGTAAATGAACACGATTAGCAACAAAGTAATGTTCGAGTCTAATAAACCAGAGTTCAGGATCTGTGATCTTAAAAGGAGGAATAGTTACATTCATGGAACTCACGGACGAAATTTGTGGAAGGTCTATTGTGTCGTTATTTAAAGACATGATTATAAAGATCAAAAATTATACGTATATAATGTAAATGTCACGGAGAGAAGTAAATCGATAAAAACAATGATAATACAAAATGGTACAATTAATTACAAGGAACGGACTTACTAAATTGCACCAAAATATCAATTGTTTGTAAAATATCGTTGTTTATTATGAATATTAACGTTATGTTCAATAATGTTTGTGTGATAATGTACGTATAATTAAAATGGTGACATAATAAATCCACAGTAAAGATTATAATCCAAATGCTAGCTCGAATTGAAATAAAGTGCGTTGGATTCTCGGAGTTGGATTACGTCGTCAAAGATTGATTCTCGCTCGCACGTTGGGATCACCAATTCTGTGGTGGTCGGTGTTCGATATATTCCTTAAACTCCGTATACAGTTCGTCTCGGTAACCGTCACCAAATAATGCTCCAACGGTATGTTAATCAGAAGGCGGATACGAAGCGTTAATTACGTTTATTAAGGGACCACACACAGATATCCAAAATTACAGATGCGTTAAGCAAGCATGAAATAGTTGTGCCGAAAGGCAAACAGGCAAGCGAGCGAGAGAGAGAGAGAGCAAGGGCAAGAGCGAGCGAGCGAGTCATGAATATGAATAACATGGACATATACATACATAATGAAATTAATGAATCATCGAGTCAATTAAGCGGTTAATAGTAAAGCTAGTAGCGTGAATAAATGCGTAGGCAGTAAGGCTTGCCGAGCATACGTATTCATACAAGGATAACAATAATAAAGGTACATACATTCGCAACAGTAATAAGGATACAATGAGTTATTATAGTGCAGGTGACTTTGTCCGTTTAATAAGTTAATAAAAGGGCTTAACAGAATTAGGTGAGAGCAAACTCAATTGAACGTGAGTTGCTATAACTTAACCACTAGACCACTGAGCCTGCATACAACGGTGTTCATGTCTAACTTCAACTAATCCACGAAATTGAGCGACACACCCACCATTGTCTAGTGGTTTAGTGGTTAATTGCACGCGCGCGAAACCAGTAGGTCCTGGGTTCGAATCTCGCAGGGGGCGAGGTCGTGGATGCGCACTGCTGAGGAGTCCCACAATAGGACGAAAAGGCCATCCAGTGCTTCCAGGTTTTCCATGGTGGTCTAGCTTCAACTGACTCATGATCTTAATGATTGAAATCACTACAATCTCCACAAAACCCCTTCTGATAATAATTGAATTAATAAGTCGATGTAAGTTAGATTACTATGAGAAATCTAAAAATATTAAATGGAACTTTTAAGTAGTGTATATCTATGATACCACTGACTGGATTCGAACTCATGACCAACATTATACGATTTAATTAGAGTCAGATATAAGATCACAAATTATCCACTGAAAAGTTTATAAATCTCAGTTAAAAATAAAAGAAATTTAATTCAAATTATACAATAATTAACTTACAACATTCAAAATAGTCTAAATTCTTCTGATATACTGGAATCATACCTTCATGACAAACACATATATTTACATTACGATTTGTTGTTAATTGTGTTTGACGTATATTGGTTGAATGTTCAAGACAAATTGCTTTTTGACTAAGGCATACTTTATTCATATCATTACATTCTTCTCCAATATCAACTAAAATCAGAAAATATTTGGATCAGTTTTGAATCTTTTCTTTTCATTCAATACATATAATAATATGATATGATATGACCAGTGGAGTTAATCCGTGTCGGGTAGAGATAGGTAAATAATTCAGCACAATCAAAGATGATCGCGCGATTTCGAGCATTGGTTGAGATAAGACATTAATATCGTTGAATACCGGCTATGTGGTCTATAGTTTAGGCGTTCGCATGCAAAACTGAAGGCCCTGGGTTAAAATCGTGGATGCACTCTGTTGACAAGGCCCGCAATAGAACGAAACGGTCATTCAATGCTTCCAGGTTTTCAGTAGTTTTCTAACATTAATCGATTCGTGATCACAATGAAAAACTTAATGATCTCCGCAACCCTTTACTGACGATCTCTTCTGTTGAATTCGAATATATCTGACTGTATGTGAAGTGGTAATTTGGTTAAATTAGATCATATGTAGAAAGTTTAGGTCATGAGTACATTAATTTACTTAGTTGCTGACTAATAGGATAAGACTAAATACAAAGATGAGTTAATCAGGCTTCAAAATGTGGTTTCTAAGGTATTTCATATTGTTCGAATCATTTTTTAATTTTGAAGAAATTGTAATTATAATGTAGCGATGAGAAACGGAGCAGTTTCACGAGACCACTTTATTTGATTGTAGTAACGAAACACAAATAGTTAGGGTTAAGATTTTTAATTGGTTTACACAGAAATCAATTTCGTGGATTAGTTCAAGTTAGACATTAACATTGTTGGATGCCGGTCAGCTCAATGGTCTCAAGGTTAAGCGCTCGCGCGTGAGACTGATAGGTCCTGGTTTCGAATCTGGCGAAGCGGGGTCGCGGATGCACACCACTGAGGAGTCCCAAATGGGACGGAACGCGCGTCCTGAATTTCACTGCTAGCCGCCATCAATCTTTACTGAATTTATTGATTACGTAACCCCGAATGTTTCAAGCACCATAATGAAGACTATACTATCAGACCATTGAATTGGGCACCAGTAATTCAAGTTTAAAACTTTAACCAAATTAGAATATTTTACAACTATAACTATAGAGTCCACTTGATATTGTTTACTTGTATCTTCCGATTGTTGTTTAGGACTTCAATTGATCAGTCTCATGTTGGATTCCACTGCTAGCCACTATCCATCTTTGGTTATAACTATAGAAGATATATTTTTTTACTTCTGACATATTCTACTTTACGGATCATAAACTTAAATTTAAGCATTGATGATTGGATACCAGTCATCTACTATCGTGGATTGAAATGAAGCTGGATTATTCATCAAGATACTTGATGGTTTTAGGCTCAATCCTTGAGATTATCTTGTCTGTATCTATTACTAATACTATTATGGTGTTTCAGGAATTAGTAAGTACACTAGAGATAAGTTCACATCAATATATACTGACTACTTGACAAAAAAAGTCTAAGTTAAACCATCCGTTTATTCTATTTGTTGATATCTCGTTGGTAAACTACAATCTAGTAGGGGTGGGTAAATCAATTTGGAAACATATTGATCAATCATTTATAACATGAATGTAATTTGTGTTATATCACTATGAATGGATGCCTGTATTACACTTACCAGGGATTGGATTGCATATATCAAAAAATGAGTAATTCTTTATAACAGAAATGTTTGGTTTTCTAGGACATGCACATTGAAGATCACTATATGAAAGAACAATATGATCATTTTAAGGATAATTATTGATCATAATTAATCTATCAAATCAATACTTTAAAATCAATATTTCTTTATATGAAGTGAAATGGACAGTTAGGTACTAAAGTACATTAATCTCATTCAATAGAATACAAGTTTCCATTAAACTATAGTTTTGAGTAAGTCAATAGTTTCACTGAATGTTATTCATACAAAGTTGTATGAAGTTGATAGCATAAATTGAAAGGAAACTTGACTTACGATAGAATCCATAGACTAGAAACATTTAAATATTTACTAGTGAAATCTATTAACTCTTAAATGTTGATGTTTATTAACAATTGTCTGCCGAATATACTTCGGATTCGTTGGTCAGATACTATCAGCAACAATCTACTGTGGGAGAGAACAAACCAGATTCCAATGGAGGAAGAAATCAGGAATAGGCGCTGGAGGTGGATAGGACACACATTGAGGAAAGTACCCAACTGAGTTGCAAGACAAACCCTCACTTGAAATCTTGAAGGCTAATGAACCCATTACATCGAGAAATGGAGACAGATATGAGAAGAATAAACAAGAATTAGATAGAACTAGAAAAGAAGGGCCCAGGACAGAATTGGTTGGAGAATGGTGGTCGGTGGCCTATGCTCCACTGAGAGTAACAAGAGTAAGTAAGTAAGTAAGTTGGTAATGTTGTTGTGGAAGACAATGAAAGTCTCACAATCAAAGTTACTTTGACCTATATGTTCTTACGATTCATAAAAATCTCAAATCGACTAATTACTTAAATGATTAGGTAATAAAGATGTAAATCAATCAATAAACTAGGATCCTTGTTAGAATCAGACTGATGTAAGTATTAAAAGTTTATTTTTTCTTGTAAACTTACTGCTAACCATTTGCGAATGAAATAAGTAGAGAAACGATATTCACTTAAAATATGATAAGCCTAATCCCGATGCTCAACAACAGGGAATTATAACCTTCAATATCACTAAAACACATAGAAAAGTTTATCAAGGAATTGTAAGTCTAACTATCTTACTTAACAACCTTAATGCTATCCTGCAAAGCTGAGACGGTTTGTTTATTTGGTAATAGTTAAACCTGAAATTGTTCCAAGTCTTAACCAATGATAATCTTGGTTAGATTTTCATCGTAGCAACAGAATAGTTTCTTACTTATAAATTATCAATATCTATGACAGTTACCATTGACGTTATAGTAAAGATTGTTTAAGTAGACTATTTTAGACATTTACAAGGTTCTGTAACATAGATTGTGGCTAGCAGTGGAATTCAGGACGCGTGTTTCGCCCTATTTAAGACTCGTCTACTGGGTTCGAATCCTAGAGTGATCATCAACTGTGAAATGTGGGCAAATGCAACTGACGAGTCCAAAATAGGACGAAACACACGTTCTGCATTCCACTACTAGCCACCATCCATCTTTGCTTAGAATGCTTGTGACTTAAGACAATATCGAGGCAGTCCGCACAGAATGCTCATATGCCAATAAGAGACTGATCAATTGCAATCCTAAATAACAATGGGAAGATACAAGTAAACAACACCAAGTGTTATGTAACAGATTTCAAAGAGTTTCGAATTTATAGATGTTAGATACCTCCTATAATTAAATATATTTACATCTTTATATCTTCTTGGACCTTACGATCCTTGAACTGTACAAAAATGCTTCTTTTAAATCTTCTGCTGATTGTTTTCAGTTCTGGATTCAGTAGTGTAAAGCCTTTGAAGATTAGAATATAACTAGGATGTCAGTATCTAAGGGTTCATTCTAAATACATAAAATGGATTCATGTCGTAATCAACCAGTTGATCTAGGTTCAATGTTAAGTTTCACACATTAGAAAGACATATCTGCATTCATTAGAAGAAAAGAAATATCTTTTCCCATTGGATTTGATGCTGATTACTGATTTTAATTGTCAGATACATTATGACTTAGCTATTTAAGCTGTTAATAAGCACATAATAGCACTGAAATAGTTTCACCGAATGATGAACAAACATGATAGCAATTTATATCATGTAATCTTTAGTAATGATCAAAGTCTATTCATCAAATTGAAATGTGCCTATTAATTACCATAACTCTACCTGTAGCTCTTCTATAGTTACTGCCGGTTCCAAGCCTGTTTAAAGAAAGAGAGTTTGGCATGAGGTCGCCAACACCATCCCGTAGAAAAAGATTAAGTGCCAGTGGGCGACCTATGCTCCCCTACAAGGAGTAACAAGCGTAAGTAAGTATGTAAGTAAGTATTAGTTGCCATGCACATTTTTAAGTTGGTTGGTAGGGATTGTTTACTTAATCTAAGGTTATGATGAAATTGTTGACACAATTATAAGAGTTGTCTTTATTCTTAAACCATATAATGCTTTTTGTATATTTTTGGAACTACTACGATTAGGAATAATAACTTCTACGTTAGCTGTATAACTTTGTATCTATCCTCAGTGAAATAATTACCTTATATGATTATAGCTACACTACAAGTTTATCAACCTGTATAAAGGTTTGTCATCAGTAAATATGATACACTATACTGGAATTCATGCAACTGCATGTATAACTATTGCAAAACTAATTATATTGATTTTAATAGTTGAAATCATGAGTCAATTGAACCTAGACCACCATGGAAAACCTGGAAGCACTGGACGACAATTTTGTTCTATTGTGCTCACCCACGATACCGGCTCAGTAGTATAATGGTTAAGCGTTCAAGAGCGAGACTGGTGGCTCCTGGGTTTGAATCTTGAGGGGCGGGGTCACGGAAACAAACTGCTGAGGAGCCATACGGTGTGACGAAACAGCCATTCAGTGCTTCCATGTTTTCTATGGTGGCTTAGCTTCAAATGACTCAGGATCTCAACTATTAAAATTACTATGATAACCGAAAAACTGCTTCTGATATTAGTTATATTGAAGTGAATATTTAAACATGACTTACCCTTGGTAATAATTATTCAATAATAAACCATTTTTTCTATTATTTAACACACATACTCCATCAATTCTTTGACAAGCTGTACAAAACGGATTCGAACTGTCATTTACACGTGGTACTGGAGAAATATAAAGAATTAATGAATTATCTATACAAGATAGTTAAAATAACATAATTTACACAAGGAATTAACCATAGTTAGGTAACCATTGAAAACCATATCTAAATTCAATCAATTTTATAGATTGTTCATTCATCTTCCCATGAATGGTAATGAAAAATAGTTGCTTAATTTTATGAACTGATTGAAGATAAAGATACGAAACATTGTGGTCTATCCTATAGTAAGAAGCTGTTCTATACATTCTGGTGTGTAGCTGTTTTATAGCCCCTAAATTGTCTTCATGAATATAGATTATTGGTGAAAGAATTGATATCATTAATAGCAGTGGTAAATAAAAGTCAAATATGAAAATGTTTCGATAACGAGTATTTCAGACATGCATATAAATAGAAGATGAACTAGATGTGAATAGATGAACTGTAAGGGTTAAGAGTAAATCAGTTTGTCTAACGAATGTACAAAATACAATCAGATGAATAAAAAATATGAAGTTAGACATTAACACTGTTGGATGCCAACCGGCTTAGTGGTCTACAGGTTAAGTACTTGCGCACGAGACTGATAGGTCCTAGGTTTGAATCTTGCAAGGCAGAGTAGTGGGTGCACACTGTTGAGTAGTCCAAAAATAAGACGAAATGGCCGTTCAGTGCTTCGAGGTTTTCCATGGTGGTTTAGCTTTAATTGAAACATGATCTCAACCATTGGAATGGAGAAAATGAGTTCAATATTCCTTACAAATAAAAGTGAGTACTTTATGAATAAAATAAAATGTAACATAAATGAATATCTTATAATAAGCTTGTGCCAGAAGAATTGTTCGTCCTCTGATAGGGGGCCGAACTAATTTATTATGATAATAGGAACTGGTTTGTACGGTGAGACTATAATTTATAGATGACCATTGAACAACGCTAAACTGATCTTGAGAGTGTCCACTTAATAACCAGGACCGAAAGAAGGTTACAAACCTGTATGAGGAATCAGAATTATGATTTACCATTGACGATTAAAGTTAGGAATTCGATTACAGGTTTTCATCACGAACTGATATCAGCTATCATGCTAAAACTTTATGGATGAATTTCGCACCAAAATCTAAGACTTATTATCTTATACATGATTGGTTCGTCCATAAATTATAGCCTCACCGTTTGCACACTTAATATACCAGTCTGCAATATATGATTGTAACCCTTAGAATCTAATATCTCATTAATCAATGGAAAACTAGAGAGAAACTCCTGGTTTATATCACTATATACAGTCACAATAAATAAAAAGTAATTCAGTAGTTTGAATCCGGGACGCGCGTTTCGTCCTATTTGTGACTCGTCAGTTGGATGTACCTGCATCTCACAGTTCGTGTTCACTCTGGGACTTAAATTCAGTACCATTCGCTTCAAACGCCACTGCGTTATCCACTCAGCTGCTGAGTCCTGATAGCCACTTGCTTGTGTAATAGGGTGAACTTTAAATTCACTTGGTATTGTTTATTTGAATCTTCACCTTGATGTTTAGGACTGTAATTGATCAGTCTCATAGTGGCATATGTGCGTACAGTGCGTATCCATCTTTGCATAGTAAGGCTATATCGAGGCATTACACACAGTATGTATATATGCCAATAAGAGATTGACCAACTGCAGTCCTAAAACATCAGTGGAATGCTTCAAACAAACAATATTAAGTGAATTTAAATTAAAGATTTTTCTATCATTATCTACGTGCTACATACATATATACATATACAGAGTTCCCAATCTGACTCCACAAAAGTAAGGCAAAACTTATAGAATTAGATGTTAAGACTTTGCTAAGCTGATAATGATATTGTGGTGTATGCTACTTATATTGACATAAGTAATATATGATGTTAGCCGTAGACAGAATGTCTGGCAGCAGAGAGACAAGAAGATCGAACAGTAAAGAATGGAAACAGAATGTCATTTGTATGAAAATGCAGGAATAATGAAGTCTGAGTCATTTTGAGACAAGTGATGGACATTTTGCAAATTGAGCATTTACTAAATGATTGTTAGATTTGATTAACATGTCCTGTAATCACTTGATAAATACATTGGATTGTTCCCACTGAGTATTCTGTTCACTAAAATATGACTGTCTAAGTTCTCAAATAGACACAACATTGCCTTTATCCAACCGGATAATTATGAATATTGGTATAAATAACAGAGGTTACTGAATAAGATTAAAATTAGCACAAATTATTACTGTACACAATTTTATAAATGCACGTTAGTTCATCCATCATTATCCATACTACAAGTCAATAATTCGATAAAATTCTAATCCAACAAAAAAGATCTTATCAATCAATTAATACTAAAATTAGGTTAACTGGTCCCTAAATGCGCTGGTACGACCAAAATTGTGAGAGTCAACTCCTCCTCTCCAAATGCTCTCGCATGGCCACGTGCATACAACCACTGACAGTGAAGTCATACTCTCTACCTTACTGTTGTTTACGAAATTGAGAGAACGAAAAGCGAATGTTCGGCGCTTTAACCGGATTGGTGAACACAAACAATCCACCTAGGGGAGTTGAAAAAACCTGATTCCAAACCAGTGGTGTACAAGTGTTCCAGGATCTTGAGGGAACAAATGGCGTATGAACCACTTGTTGGTCACCGGCTACCATAGAACTGCATCTCCTTACGTTACTCCACTGTCTTAAGGATTAGACCTTCTGGTTGAATGCTCTGTGTGTGGTCCCCCTAAGAAAACCACCTGTTTTGGTTTGGGCACCCGAGCAGTATCTCAGCCCTCACACAAATCGAATGATTTATGTGGCGCTTATCAATTCGGTGCCTCCTTGTTCCAATGTTTATGTGTTTAAATAAATGGGTTATCAGTTCTTTAAAAGCATTCTTTTTTATATCAATTTCATAATCAAAACTTACAACAGGAAAAATGTTGAAATACAAATTCATAACCACTAGGACAAACGCATGCACCAACTCCTGGATGACATATACTACCATGAATATAAGAACAATCTGAATCTATACGACAGTATAAATCTGTAAGTACTAGATATGAAAAAAATATAAGAAAAAGATTATGCAATCATCGCATAGTTTTAACTAAAATCGGGATAGTCATTGTCATGTATTATTAAAACAAACAGACAGTTTTCGTTACGAACTCATTAAAAATAAAACCTTCATACAACTAGTTTAGTTTACATTACAACTTGAGTCGTTTCATGGAATAGTTGAAGAATCATCTGGTTTCAACGGTGATGATCATCTCATTGAGGACAAACGTAAACGTCAAATCAATAGTACTAGTTGTAGTGAACAACAACACGAGGATAGGCAGTGGTATGTCTGTGAACACGAAATTACAGAACATCTGAGTATCATGCAGTAAGTACTTAATTAGCAAAATACCAATTAATTGTCTCAAATTTAACTGTTCCATCGTCTCAGATTTCATTGTTCCTGCATTTTCATACCGATTGCTTTCTGTTCCCGTTTTTTCCTTCTTGATCTTCTACAGAAATACATTTTATTCCTGACTATCATTATATACTACTTATGTGAATATAAGTAGCTCACACCACACTAGCTTCAAAAATACTTTAGAAATGAAACCATTCGTTTCTATTTCCACCATTGTGAAGGTTCTTGAAAATTTTATCACTCTTATTTGATTTTAGTATCGTTCGTGCATGAGATTTATTTGTTTATCAGGGATAAAATATGGTAGCTGTTCAAACATAATACGGTTAGTCATTTGTTTAATTGGATTCATAACTTACTGATGTTACCCCTATTGGAACATAGGCTACCAACCAGCATTCTTCGTCCCACTCTGTCCTCGGTCTTCCTTTATAGTTCTATCTAATTCTTGTTCATCCTCCTCATGTGTGTTTCCATTTCTTGGTGTAATGTGTTGTTCTTTGGTCTTCCTCTTCTCCTTTATTTGGCCTTTATGATTTCAAGTGAGTGCTTACCTTGTGATGCAGTTGGGTGCTTTCCTCAATGTGTGTACTGTCCACCTCCAGCGCCTATTCCTGATTTCTTCCTCCATTGGAATCTGGTTTGTTATCTCCCACAGTAAGTTGTTACTGATAATGCCTGGGCAACGGATCCGAAATATTTTGCGTAGACAACTGTTAATTAACATTTGTATCTTCTGGATGATGGTTTTCATAGTTCTCCAAGTTTCCACCCCATACAGTAGAACTGTTTAGACATTTGTATTGAAAATTGTGACTTTGGTGTTGGTTGACAGACAGTTGTTTTTAGTTCCAGGTGTTCTTCACTTGGAGATATGCTGCTCTTGCTTTTCCAATCCGCGCCTTCACATCTGCATCAGACTCACCGTGTTCATCAATGATGCCGCCCAGATATGGAAAGGTTTTTACATCTTTCAAAGCTTCTCCATCAAGTATGATTCGATTGGTGCATTCTGTGTATGTTGTATGTTGAGATCTACTGATGCTAGTGCTGCTACTACACTGGATTTTTAACTAATGACCTTAATAGGATAATATATTTGATCATAAACCCATCCACTCCCAGAAGAAAATCAAAACTACTATGAAGGAACTCAAAGTGAAAGGGTAATGCCACAAATCAGTGAATTGAGTGATGCTATATGACAAACATATATAATAATAAACAGTATATTTAAAGTGCTTAATATTTGTTTGTGATATTCATCACAAACGGAGATTCATTAGTGTACCACTGAAAACAAAAGGGACTGGATAGCAGTTTCTTCCTAATATGGAACCTCCTAGAACTTCACAACTATAATGAAAAAGGGAATATAGTGTCAAATAAATCTTCATGAAATAATCTGCATAAAGTTAAACTGGGCAATGTATTGCAAATGATTAATCTAATAGCTGACCCCATAGTCGTCTAGAGTCGCGGTTAAGTAATACCATAAAGTATCATGCTTGAGTAGAAAAAGATTTTCTTAATTCCTACTGATTCACTATAACCGTTTAGATGAAGTTACTTCTTGGTGTTAACCATTACCATACATTGGATTAGTACTATAAACTGCTCATCCAAATAATATAGAGTTGTATGTTAGAAATTGATTTGTAGAAGAATTCACAATGTTCAAGTGAAATCGCTTGGGGGTCATTGGTTAACCATGTGGAATGAGAGAGAGAGAGTTGCCAATATTAGTATAATATGGCCTGATGACTGAAGTTAGAAATGTGTTTCATGTAAGGGGGTTTACCACGAGACTTAAATAATCCATATTTATTCTAGTGCTTAGAGTGGGTAATACATGCTATTATAGAATAACAAACTTGAACAAAGCGAACTTCTATTTCACCCAAATTTTGATGATTTCACCATAAAATGCTCTCCATATTAACATTTGTTTGTAGGTTTATTTTAATGAACAGGTAACAGTCAACAATGAGTAGACAAGCACATGAATAGTAACCTGAAGTATATATATATATACTTTAGGCTATCAACTGTAGGATTTCCTCGGGGATGACAAGTACCTTACTCATAAATGAGACTTTCTCATCATGGAAACAACATAGTCAAAACAGAAACTTTATCAGTCATATATTTGGATTGGGATCACAAATGAACATCAAACAGGTACAAAATGAGTAATCTAATGGGAGAAAAGCTCTGAAACACTAATATATTTCAATAAGGATAATAAGCTAGAGTTGTACACGCACTCTCTTCTCCCTTAAACATAATCCTATCAAAAGTTTATATATATATATATATATATATATATATATATATATATATATATATAGCTTAATAATGAATTCCTTGAATAGAGATCCATTTACTGAACTACATATTTCTTAATATTTAAATGGGTATGATAAGTTTCTAAGATTATTAATAATCAATACAGAAACAATTCGATTGTGATCAATAAAAATAATATAGTTGTAATAATCTCAATAATATCAGAAAAGAATTTTCGGATATTATAGTAATTTTAATAGCTGAGATCACGAGTCAATTGAAGTTAAAACACCATGGAAAACCTGGAGGCTGTTTCGGCTTGTTCTGTGACTTCTCAGCAATGCGCACTCAAGAGCCTACCTCGCCAGATTCCAACTCAGGACACATTGGTCTCGCGCGCCAGAGCTTAGCTAGTAGACCACTGAACCGGCCGGCATCCAACAGTATTAATGTCTAACTTCAACGAAATTAAGCGACACATCCACCATTGTCTCCAGTGAGTTACTATCTCATAACCGAGATGGTTGGAATCCACTTGTCACTGCTTCTCACTAGAACTCCAGGATATACATCTTGAATTCAGTCACTAGTGAGTATATGTTGTTTAATATCGGAAGGGGTTTTGTGGATATTATACTAACTTAACAGGTGAGATCATGAGTCAATCGAATCTAGACCCCCATGGAAAACCTGAAAGCACTGGACGGCCGTTTGGACCCATTGTGCGACTTCTTAGCAGTGGGCATTCACGATCTTGCCTCGAGAGTTTTGAACTCAAGGTCTATCGATCTCTTAGTGATCAGTGAAATTTCATCGGGCCAGTTGTGAGATAGTGACTGACTTAAGACAATGATGGATGTGTCCCTCAATTTTGTGGATTAGTTGAAATTAAGCATTAACACCGTTGGATGCCAGACAGCTTAATGTTCTAGAGGTTAGGCGCTCGCGTGCGAGACTAATATATCCTGTGTTCGAATCTGGGGAAGCGGGATCATGTATGCACACCGTTAAGCAGTCCCACAATAGGACGAAACGACTGTCTAGTGCTTCAAGGTTTTCCATGGTAGTTTAGCTACAATTGACTGATGTTCTCAACCATACAAATAACTTTATTATTTATTGAATTTTGTAACAAAAAACTTAACTGATGATAGTTTTTTAGAAAATTAATAATCGATTTCTAATGACTATTATTGATAATAATAATAATAATAATAATAATAATAATAATAATAATAATAATAATATTAGTAATAGTAATAATAATAATAATAATAATTAACCTGTCATACCTTAAGCTATAACTCAATCATTTCTGTTTTGTCAACCTAAACTATTTCAATGACTTGAATTACAATATTGTAAATTACTTAACTGAAAAATGTTGGTTACCATGTCCTTTATGGGAAAGAGTGAAGTAGTCAAATTTTTAATTATTAAAGAACTAATTTTAATGTTTTGTGATCGTTTTAGATGGGGATTTTATTCTCTAAGCTGAATGGTTTAGTCATGTAGCTTTCATTGTTCTTCTGATCAATATCATCAGCATAAACTTCAGGGTAGAAGTGAAGTATTCTAATTTCACCACATATGACTCACAGCTTGTCTTGTAGACTTCGATTTGTATTGGTTATTGTTGACCATTAACCTGTCATTGTTTACTTCTTTATTTTGGTTGTATCTCCCATTTGGTTTGATTCTTGGTCCTTGTTATAACTGTTGGCCTGAGTGCCCTGTTAATGGATAACGTCATAATACCATCAATCAGAGAGCAGTGAATTATCGATCAGACCAAGGACGCGTAAAACTCATGCGAGCAGTCTTTATCGGTCCTGCTTCCTGTCTAGCCCAGTCAGTCGAGTCCAGAACACCAATTTCAGTCTCCGCGATATGAATCATGTATTTCAAACATACACGGTTTATGTACCAATCAAACAGACCACAATGTACCATAAAATAGGAAACAACATTTATACAAGATTTGGCCAAAAGTGTCTGTGAATATGGGAGGTAGTAATTAATAGACAAGGAATAATTCAAGAATGGAAAATCGTATAATAACGGTTCATAGGTTAAAATAAAGCCCATAATAAGAGGGACATGAATGTGAACAGTTTAGCTACTAATCAATTATACGATAAAAATGTACGTTTAGTATTTGTCCACAAATGGATCCCAAAAATTACTATTCACTATGCTTATCGTGACCTAACACTCCTATATTTGTCCATAATTTTTTAGATTGGTTGATGAATTGGATCGATTTCAATGTGTTTGTTGATCGCTGAATGACCTGAGTGCCAAGCTTCTAAAAATTCTCTGGTGTTTTTAGAATT